GTTTTTCAGGATGCGCGTCCCCACCGTGTAATTGATACATTAAAGATGTGAAGTACTTGTTTTTTATAGATGGGTATTCAAACAATGTGTTTTGGTGCAGGAAAAAATATATTCAATTTTTAGCGGTATGTCTCTGTTATTCTAGTATCTACTTTCATATATGCATGCGTGTAAAAATGCATCAATGTATGTATGTATCGATTGTAATAGAGAAATTATCGATACATTTAAGTAAACAATATTCTCTAAAGTTGTATTTCTTTAAAAATGTATCGTTACATTTTAATGACAACCTATTATCTAACAATGTATCGTGTAGGACAGATAGCAAATGTAAATCGATACAAATTATTTTACATGTATGTGTAGCGCTAAGATAAGAAAACGTTTCAAAATAAAAAATATGTAGTTTATGAAATGTGGTAGTTAATCTGTGCATTTAGATATATATATATATATATATATATATATATACACACGTAATTTTTCTTGTTTACCATATGCCCATATGCCCATATGCAACTTCATTCTAATGTATAGTGAATGACTGAGTCTTGTTAACAGAGACGGACCCAGGAGCCTTCGTCAGGGGTTGCAAGAGCTGCAGGGGTGACACTTTTGAGGCATGACACTTTTGAGGGGTGGCATTTGGATTAGGGGTGGCACCTGTGGAGGGGTTGCTTGGGATACCACGGGCACCATGGAGATCCACCCCTGGATGAGGGGTTGCCCGGGATACCCCGGGCTCCATGGAGGTCCGCCCTTGGTCTTGTACCAAGGTCAACCCGACCATATCAATAACCTAACAATGTGCATTACAAAAATGTTATGCCAAAATTGAATCTCCATTGACTACACAATTTCAAATTAAATGTTATCAACAAAACCCTGAGCCAACTCATGTTACCGGTTTCAATGTTCTTGTGTCTCCTACTATTATTTCTTGCCCACAAATTTCGACAATAACTTCACAGAATATAAATTACATTTAGTTATTCTCACACAACCCAACCCATAACAACTAATTTTAAAACTAACTCCAATTTCAAATACATATCCATTTCGTAAATCGGAGTTTCAAATGTAATCACAATAAGCATACTTCATTTTACCAATCGCCCTAGGTATTTTCACCTGCGACATTTAAAAAAATAGAAATACTCATCAACGATACAACTAATGAAGCAAACAATTGTCATTCTCGTTTATGTTCGAAACAAATATAAATCGCCATTTACATACCACTAACAATTCATGTCTCTACAAATGTTCGTCACGGGTACTTTTGGTCCTAACTAATATTTAATTTTTCCACTCTAACAACAATTGTTTCCCACTAACCTTTGGCTTGGAACCCACAACCTACAAAATTAAACTTTAATTAGACACAACACTACAACAAACACAAAAATAAACTTCATGTACTTCGATTCATCTTACCTTATGCTTTTTCAGTGGTACAAGACACTCGAAATCAAAGTAGTCAACAGTGACTATATTAGGTGTCTGTAATCCAACCGTAGACACCTCCCCAACATGATCATTTTCACTATTTCTTCTTCCCCCACTTCCCCCTCAATTCATTCGAACGATCGCTTCTCCATTTTACACATATCATCGATTTTCTTGTCAATTGATGCAAAAAAATCTTAATCTCACTCATTTCTTCCCTCAGTTCCGTAAACCCCTCCAGACATTTATTCCCAATTTCACCAACAACAGTAATCACCTTCTTCATTTCACTCCTCATCTTGTCAACTTCTTCTGACATATCATCGAAACTAGCTTTATTCTTCTCGCTAGACTTGTTCCCGTCGAATTTCAGGTTGTTAATCACTTCCTCCATTCTCCTTTGTCTATCACAAACCTCTGAAATAATTCATTTCATTTGCAACAACTCAGACATTACCGTATCATGTTTGCATGTCCCAGTCTCATTCAAGGAAGTCCCCTTACAACCATCTTTCTCTCTAATGTTCTCTTCGTCCACCGAAACACCCTACAAAATTAAAGTACACTATTGAACAAGGTTATTCAATGATTCATAACAAAACCTCATTGTTATTACCTTTTCTTTCCTCTTCAGTCATTTCGATTTCATCTTGTTCATAATTCGCACCACCTCATCCTTATACCATGCAAAGATGCATGGAATCTCGTTTTTTTGGTAGGCCAGTACACTCGCAGAATTCGACCAGAAATCAAACAATACAACCTGGATTCCAAAGGAAGTTAATCAATCAACCTCCACAACTATGTTCACTTAAATAAATATTTTAACAAAAAAATCTTCAACATTCAATTACCTCTAATATTCAAGGCAACCTTGCAAGTATTCGTGGTTTTTGACTTTTGAAAAATTACTATTGCCTCTATCAATTTGTCTGCAACGAATTTCGTCCAATTTAATTTGTTTTTCATCCTTACGTCACACAACAACTTCAAATAGTTTGTTCTCAAGGATGTATCATCCATTGGAGCAAGAAATATTCCAATAACATAAAAAAAACTCTACCTTCATATCATCACCAACGAATTTTTCACTTTTAATCTCCGCCTCAAGCTCAACTAATGTAACATTTTGCTTTATAATAAACTTATTGTTGTGTTCTTTCCATTCCTCCATTTGAAAAACATCTTCAACACAGTTTTCTTCATTTTTAACCTTAGCACTGCTACAACTTGTGCATCCCCACAGGAGAATGATAGCTACCAAAATGAAGCATACGGTTTTCAGTATCAAATTTCTCAAACAACTCCCGACACAAATCCCTACGAATTTATCGTCTTTTTACCTCAATCAAACTCTAAAAACCTAATTCTTTCACAACTTGAGATTTCCCCTCCTTTTCAACGTCTCCATCAAATCATGCAATCTTATCAAGCTACATCTTGTGGGCACTTCATACATTTATTTAAAAAAATTGTGTTGTGTTACGTTATACAAAACATTTTAAAAAATGTTATATGCCTTGAAAATATTCGAAATACCTTTCTCACATGCGATCAACGTTGTTTTATCAATAATGTTGACAACAATCCATCTCTATAACCTTCTCAATTCCATTCACATACAAACATAACCAACCTTCTTATTATTTTTCGAAACTCGCTCCAAATGTCTACATTCTATCACACTGTAAACATTTCAAATTTCTCATCAATCTAATTATCTATTATATTTTTAATCAATAACCAGCTTTCAAACAAGTTACAGACAAATACATGGTCACTTACTAAAAGTGCATATATGCGCACATTGGTTTCTTCGGCCTTACCTTTGTCTCAGTCGCATCCTGGTCCTGAAACATATTCTCCCTCTTCTCGAGGCACAATTGCCATGTCAAAACCTCTCATTTCATTCATTTCATCGGTTGATTACATCTTCTTCATCTTTTTCTTCCTTTACTTTCAATTATTACAATACAAAACATATTTCAACAACAATTTTTGTTATAAACTGTTATGTAAATGTTACAGTAAACGGTTATCTCATGATTGTTTATATCAATATCGGTTCAGTACAGTCATCTATCATGTACAAACTAAAAAATTATCTACAACCCAATTTTTTGCCCTACAACCTATAATATTACATTTCGCTTGGTTTACTAACAACAATCAATTCTAATTCCTTCAACCTATAACAATAATCGATCATTTGTTCCAAAGCTTTACCCTCTACAATAAACCCTAATCACTAAATCCAAAATAACTTAATTGAAGAAGTTGTAAACTAGGGTTTCGACAACATACCTCTCTCTTCTTCAAATTGAGATTTCAGTTATATTCTTGCGACTTAATTTTTACTTCTCATATGGAAAATGGATTCTTGAGACGAAAACCCTTTACTTTGCTATCTGATTATTACCTTTACCATCGTTAAACCGCTTATGTTATGTATAAATACTCTGTACTTTCCCATTTGTATCAAAATATATGCATAGGTCTAATACTTTTAAATACAATTCTCCATTCTCTTCTTTTTACAATTCATAAGTATCGATATTCGGGGGAAAACTTTCAATATAATCGGTTTCCAACTAAAAAACTTGTACCCATTAACCGAAAAAGTTACATGTTACTTTAATGCTATTGGTTGCAATTTAAAATTTTACCTTCTTAGTGTCACAACATTATTAAAAAAACCGTTATTGTTATACATTTCAGTAATATTTTAGGTTTCAACTACAAAAATTGAGCTCATATTGCCCTCTTCCTTCACACATTAATGTTATAAGTTCGTCTCTATTCTATAACCGGTTTCGCTCTGAACTTGTTATACAATTCGAAGATATCAAAATTCTTTTAAGTGAGTTTCGATACTAACCTAGAACATAACTTACTTAGTTAACTCATTCTTTTGTTTCCTAAACTATATGAAACTTAATATATTACGCTTAATTTAATATTTTCGGTAGCGCTTAACCTATTTCATTAAATTCCTTTAAATATTTTCGGTTACACTGTTTGTTAGTCTTATATTACACTGTCGTTCCTTAGAATTACCCCTGATTCATGATATATTTTCAGTGAAACATAATATCAATTTTTTTACTTAAAAAATATTTTTTTGTTTATTTCAATATCATCATTTGACACATCAACAAAATTATCTTAGGTGGACACATATAATGTCCACATCGGCAGAAACTAACGATCAAAGGTATAAATTGATGCAATTAAACAAATTCAATGGTAAAATTGATATGAAAATACGATAGAGTCAGAATTGATAAATTTGATCAACTAGAGGGACAAGTGTGACCCTTAAACCTTATTTAAATTAATACTTGATTATTATTCAGTTCCACTTGGTCTGTGACTCTGTATTTAGTTGTTTAACCTTGGCCATGCTGGAGCCCAACAATAAAAGGAAAAAGCGTCAAATCCTTGAAAAATGGATATATAGATCTTATATGATAGGTGTCAAATCCTCGCAAACAATTTTCTAATAGTAAAGGCCCATTTATTCAATCCAGTCTAGGGAGAGAGTAAAA